TACCAGAATTTGTTTAATTAAAATTTGATGCTGTAAAAAGTCCATCTGAAATTATTAATTTTTTAGAGACATAGCAGCTCGAAATTGTTTATTAACAGCGAATAATCACGTCAAAATTAGTGATTTTGGAATGTCTGACGAAAAAACTATAATTCAGAATAGCAGTCTTGACAAAGTCAACCCTTTATTTTCTGTATTTTTTTTAGATTCACAAATAGTGTAGCATTCAAAAGAAGTTATACAGTAATAGATTTTAAAAAATTTAAGTGTGTCTTTGAATAATTGTTTGTGACAGCATAATAAGTAAATGTCAAGTAATATCAACTTATTTAACCAATAAAAGTTTATGCAGAATGAAAAATAATAACGGTCATAAAGTAACTGAAACAACTAAGACTTATTAGAGTTGTATTCAAAATATTAGAGAGATATCAAAAAAATAAATGTATGTCATCTCAGCATCAAAAAAATTACTGGCAGCCTAAGAAATATCCAAACAATCTTAACAACTGAATATTATAGTAGCACTTACGATTAAATATCAAAATTTTATAAGATTTCGTTATTAATATTTAAGCTACAAAAAAAATCATATAATTTAGACACGAAATTTCCCATTGCAAGTAGTTTTGATTAAGAAAAAATATCTAAATTACTTATTTTTGATGCTAATAGTATTAGTACCGAAATCAACCATACTTTATAGGTACCAATTAAATGGCTTGCTCCTGAAACTATGCAAAATCGTATTTATTCAATTAAAAGTGATGTGTGGTCCTATGGAATTATGGTTACTCCATTATCTCATGAAAAATTCTTCAATAAAATTATGAATGTTGAATATACTTAATTAAAGTATCGAAACAAAATTAATTCATTTTGCAATCAAAAATCCGCAAATTGAAATAATTTAATAACTTGTGATAAAAACAACTTTTTAAAGTGTATAGTGAAAAAGATAAATAACAAAATTTACTTTACTAATTCAATAAAAATATGTTAACATAAGGATAAGTCTTATTTTTATTACTGTCTTCTTGATTTTAAATACTTGCTTAGAATATCAGTTTAATAAGAAAATTATTTTATTTCATTTTCTTCTGCAAATTCAACTTAAAAACATAATAGCAAAACAATTTATAGTATTAATGGATTTATTTCAAAAGTTAGATTTCTATAAACATAAATTATTTATTAGCTTTTTAAAATAGAAAAAAAGCTTATATACTATACTGTAGCATTAAAACAGTACTGCGAATATTGCAAAATTATCATAAGTAATCAAGCCTTATTTTCAAACATCTTTCGACATTTAATTTGAATGTAAGTTCCGAATTTTGATTTCAAATTTGAAATTCAAAGGTTTGGGAGATATATTCAGAAGGTTGTGAGCCTTATCCATCATTATCAAATGTGCAGACACGGGCAAAAATAATTGTTCAAGATTATCGTATGGATATGCCTCAGGTATTTTGCATTCATAATGATTTACAGCCTTGTGCATCTATTTTGGATTATTATTAAGCTTTTAGAAACTAATGATTGAAATGAGTTATATCTTTTACTTATCGAATTGCAATTTTACTTCTTTTAAGTACAGTTATTAATTTTGACTTAAGTGTATGAGGTAGAAAATGTGAAATTGTTTAATAATGCTTCGGTATACATATTCAAAATATTTTACACAGAAAATCTTTTTTAATTAAAAGTTTAGCTTATTAATAAATAACTGAAATAATTTTTCATCTGAAATTTATTCATCTGTCACGATTGCCATTGTAGTTGAAAACAATAAATTTTAAACTCTTCTGGTTAGAATTTAAATTTTTTTAAAATTTCTTTGCAAAATTATCGAATAATTGATATCTTAACAGAAGACTCCACCAGAAATCTCATCGATGGTTGCCAAATGTTGGGCAAAAGAACCTGCAAAACGGCCAACGTTTTCACAAATTACTCAGATTCTACAAGACTCATTAGATTGTGTTTCGAGAACAGAAACAAGTTCAGAAGTAGAATCTTTGCAAAAATAAAAAAAGTGATAACAATAATTTTTCACTTTTTAAAACAGATAAATAAGTAATGTAGCAACTTGCTTTTTTGTAACTTGAATTAATTAATAAATGTGATAAAGTTTTATTGTCTAATAGAAAATTTTTGTTGGAATTTCAGTGAGTAAAATCAAATTTTACATTCTCTACTAAATTTTTTTATTATAATATCTTTTGTGATGCTTTGAATTTGATATATTTGAATTTACAGTGCAAATTTTGTATTTTTAACTTTACTTAATATACTTGTGTACTACTATTAAACAGAAGAAATATTGAAAGCTTTGTTTTTAAATATTTTATGAATAATAATAATCTTAATTACAATGGAATTGTATCTATTTTTTCTTTTGCGATTTCTCGCTGATAATTCTAATTATCAAGCAATGATTTTTAATTAAATTATTAATAAAATTAAATACTCATTTTAAGTGTTTTGCTGTTCATATTATCGACACCATTTGTTATCATCGCTATTGTATCATACATGTATATGCTGATATTTTGAAGCAGAATACATTTTTATAATGGAAATAAAACTTGATAATTTCATGTGTAAAATCAAAGTCTACATTCTCTACTGAATTTTAGAATAATAATAATATTATTATTATGATTATTTAAATAAATAATGATACTGATGAAAATAATAGTAACAGAGATGAAATATAATCCACTTAGCAATTTTAAACGCGTACCAAAACGGAAAGACAAAATCAGAACGGAAACATTTGTCATTACCAAACAATTGCGACAATGGTAAATTTTCAAAGCGAATTTACTAGTTTTTTTCTACTGGATTGGCTGAATTCGCCAAAAAACTTTTATAATCGTTTTCCGGTACTTTCAAGGTATTATCGAGGTTTTGCACAATTACTCATATCAAAGTATTTGTGTTGGCTGCTTGTTAGCAGCGTCTAATTCTACAGCGCAAATGGGTGAATTAATGCTGCGCAATGCCAGTGATACAAGTAAGCGTCGCTAAATTATTAATTAATTCTTAAATAATTTATACATTGAATATTCTTTTTTTTTTGTAAGCTAAGACATAAAGCTAAATTTTGAATTGTATATTATTGATGTGCGAAAATTTATTCCACAAAATTGTGTTCAAAATTATTGTTTAAAAGCATTCTTAATCATTCAATTTTAGCATCTTATTTTGTAATCTTGCTAGAATAACTTTATCATTTATTCATTCTGAACCATTCCTTTAGTAATTCTGCTCTTCAAATCATTTAAATCTTTAATTTATCATCAAATTATGCATGAATATTACTGCTCATCGTAATTAGCAATACTACAAAAACATCTTTTTAATCTTTTGACTACTTTTCGGATTTTTTAGACAGTTTTGACACTTATTATTTATTTACCTTTTAATTAGTTATTAGTAATAAATTACAAACATTTATTTTTTTCAAACGACTTCAAATCAATATTTAGATCATTCAAGTTGGATCTGCATAACTTCAAGCAAAAAGAATTACAAATTGCTGTTTTGACATATCACTTTTATCATTTTTTTAATAATTCAAAAAGTTTTTTCACTTTTATCTGTTCAAAACAATTTGTCAAAAATATCGATAATTTGTAGAAGTGAAAAATCCCATTGATTTGTTGGTAGTAGATATTGATGGTGGTAAAAGTGAAGAAAAGAAAAGTGAAGTACTCATGACAGAGGTCAGAGTAAATACTGGTAAAAAAGTCTTGTTAAAACGTTGCAAACGTAATGATTCAAGAGAAACGTGGACAAGAAAAGTGGATTTCTTATTATCGGTTATCGGTTTTGCGGTAGATTTGGCTAATATTTGGCGTTTTCCATATTTATGCTTCAAAAATGGAGGAGGTGTTTTTAGAACCTGAAATTTTATTTATTAATTTTATTTATTTTTTTTGTAATTAATTAGTAGAATTAAAACAAAGTTGTTATATCTTTGTTTTAATAATTAAATAATTATTTATTAGCAAATGAAATTAATCCAATACTATTTCAAGTATTGGATTATTAAATCTTTCTGATTAATAATTTTACATGTTTGAAAATATCTAAA